ACACGCGTGTTGGGAGCCCGCGCTACGCTCGGAGCTGCCTTTGTCGGGAACCCGTCACCGGCGCGTCGGGACCGGCTCTCTCCTTCGCCAGGTCTTCCTTGTGCCAAGTGCAGCAGGAGCTAAGGCTACCGAGGGCTCCCGGCACGCTCCCCCCTGGTTTATTTAAACTTTTGGCTGGAAAGAACGGCCAGAAGACTGAGCGTGTGGCTGTTTTTCTGGAAGCGGGCAGCTGTCCCGTTTGTCTGCGCGCTGTCACCCAGCGCCGGGGCTGAGCACCCCGAGAGCGGCCCCCAAACGCAGCCCTGGCCGCGGGCAGCCGTTGGCACGTGTGTAGGCATCGATGTGTGCCGAGTAGGGGTCTGCACAACTCTTTAACTGTGTTTTCTGTCTCAGGTAGAGCTGGTAGAATACAGCGTCTCCTATTGTTAAAAAAAAAGGTGGATTTCTGGGCACAGAATAGCGTAGCTGTAGTTACACTGAACTTTGGAAAATAGGAGCAGTTGCTCCTTACTTGCTCTGAACTTACTCCTGGGACCATTTCTGGGTGAGAGCGTGTCAGGGTAACAAGTAAGTCCTAAACTTTTGTGAGTTCTTATCTCTTCTACCCAATCACTTTAGTAAAGCCCCATTACTACAGAAAAAGATATAAATGCACGTGTATGTTTGTGTGGAGACCTTGAGTTTAAAGCAGCCAGATTTACTACCTGTTGAACTGAGCCTACTGTTTACTGTAAACTGGTAGTGAAAGCGAGTTCCTCTCAACCCACTTCGAGGAAGAGGGGACTCTCCCTTCTCCACCCTGAAGTAGTGGCACTTCTCTGCCCCGCTCCTTGCCACCCTCCCCAGTGTCTCTTTGCTGCCCTAATTGCACTGACGTTGGCCTGAAGACTCTGAACTCTCTTTGTAAGATAATCTTCTGGCCATGGATAGGAAGCAAGCTTGGAGACGCAGCTGTTGGGAGTGTGGTGATTTGATTTGATTGCTGTTCCTCAGCCCTTTTCTCGCTTATTTGCAGGTACGGTTCCTCAGAAATGTTTAGTGGTGAGCAGCGGCTGACGATGAGCTTGTAAAGGCTCAATCTTATATTTCCAGGTCTTTAAGCGCTGATAGCAAAGGCAAATTCCAGTATTGGCTCTTCTGTAATAGCAGTAAGCAGAATATTGCTAATGTTGGACATTTACCAATTTTATATCGTCTAACTTTGGATGAAAGTTTTGAGTAGGCATGAACATGCGTGAAAAATTATACACACGTCTCTAATTTATAGTCTTAATTTGTGTAGATATGGATATACTCTTCATTTTGCTTAATTATGTGTGTGCACATGTATGCATGCACAGGAGCACAGCAATAGTAACTTTGGGAGCTAGGCCCTTATTACATAATGTGATACTTTCTCTAGAGACCCATTTCTACCTGGTAATCTGTCACTAAGAGAAATTTGGAAAGCTGGATGGATGTGGTAGGTTCAAAGGCCATTAATTCAAAGCAGTTTTCCAAAGGAAGGCTTGTAGAGGTTCCTTTCTGCTACCGACTTTGTCTTCACACAAGTCTCTGCAGGCTTGAGCAAATATTTAAAAGAAATATGCTTTTTCCAGTCAGTTTGCATTTGTTACTTTCTTCTTTCACATGCAAATATCTCGATGGTTTCAAAACAAGGGTTTGCATTTGCAAGTAGCTTGGCTTACTTTTATCATACGGCTTGTTTACATGCTGGCAAACAGGACTTAGAGAATTATTTTACCTTTTTTGAAATATGTGGGCCTGTGCTGCACCCAAACCAGAGGGCTGGTAGTCTAGCTGTATAATTTAATTAATCTGTATATTGCTTGGCCTTCCGGTTGTAGTTTGAGCCTGCATTTTTCCAGGGATTAGCTTTATCTTGGTGGGTGTGCCACGGAGGGGAGCTGGTGGGTGTGAGCCTCCAGCCCGGCCTCCAGAAGGGTGGATGGATATCTGGGCATGGGACTGTCCCCGTCCTCGGTGGGCACGCTCGGGAGGGGCTGTGGAAGACCAGCAGAAAGCTGGATAAAAAGGGAAATGAACACGCAAAAAAAATTCTGAAGCGGTTGGGGCAAAAGTGGGAAGATTCCTCTTTGGAGAAGGAAGGACTCGTGCACTTCAGCTGCTTCGTGGGCGATGGTGGGTCCAGACTGGAGCTCTTGAGAGCAGCTGGTGCAGAGCACCAGGACCACATTCTCAGCAAGAGCCGTTTTGCTTTAGGGGTCCCCTGCAGTTGTGCCACAGCTCTTGCTAACCTAGATGTAGCCCATTTTTTCCAAAAAGAGTTACTTTTTATTAGGCAATGAGCATACAATTTGTAATCAAAACTCTTCTACAGTATCACGGTATTGCTTTTATAAACAGTCTGTCCCTAAATAACTCTCTGAGCCCTGTTCCCAAGTGAACGTGGAGCTCTGCCTCAGAGGGGTTTCCAGATGAACCTGCCCCCAGTTAATGCTGATGGAACCTGGATTGTCGTTTCCCTGCTGGCTGGGTGCAAAGTCTTGGACAGTGCTGTTTTCACTTGGCACAGCGTTTCTCAAACCAAGTGTTGATTCGGATTTCAAAATGATATCGAATGCGTGCCCCTCCTCTGGCATTCGATTTGCATGTGCTATCAGGTCTCAGTCTTCACCCTGGTATATAAACCAGGCTACTTCCTTGACACACCTAAGTAATCACCTCATTTATAGTTATTTTTCAAGCAGGTGCCTGTTTGTATATGCAGGTCTCTGTCCAGTCTTGTAATAAGTAAACCACCTTATTTTCTAACCCTTTCTTCTTTAGTGTTTGGGGTGGGGGGGGAAGAAAATTTGGGATATAGTTCAGTATTAGGATGAATTGGTAGACTGTCTAATCACATACCTGCATTGACTATGGGGGGCACGAAGAATAGCAGAAAAAAAGGGTGAACAGCTATAAAATAACTGTATTTAACAAGGACATCTCTTTCTAAATGCAGTAATTGGTTTATTGTATTCATGAGTTTGTATTGTGTGTGTGGTGGGGTTTATGGCTGATACTAACCCCCACTAATACAGAGAGCAAGAATGACTGTTTGATCTATTTAAGCTAAAGACAACGTTGGCACAAGAGCAAAAAAGTATGGAAATCATCCTGCGTACATTTAGTCAGTAATGAGGCCAGAGAGTAGGTTTGCCGCTCCTTGAATGGCAGATCCTGAAGTAATATTTTGTTAGGACAGGAGGGAATTTAAATACTTTTATCATAAAACTTCATAAATATATTATGATGTTTGTATGGTGGGAGAGCTCAAAATACTCATGATCTCAGTGTTTCTGTGTTGCTGTTGGTTCCTGGGTACAGTGCTTGGGATCAGAGCCATCGTTGTCTGTAAGTATTGCCTCAGTCTGAGACATGCTGCTTTCTCTGGCAAGGCTATTACTATCTGAAATCCTAAGAAAGATTTACAAATCCAACTTTTCCCCTCATTATCTGTAAGGCATTTTTTCTGTAGGAGGGTAATGAACCAGAAGAAAAAGTGCTTAGGTTAAAAATACAAAGAGTGGAAAGAGAAGCCAAAAAAGTTCGTTCCTCGTAGGATACAAGAGCAGGATCCTCAGAGCAGCTGGGCTGTCACCTACTGCTGGGTGGGGAGATATTGGGACCTGGGTACAGAAAACAAATCAAGTAGCTTGAAGCAGGGGACCAAAAGAAGGAATGAGGATAGTATGCCTATTTTTTGCTTTGTTTTTCCTTTTTTGTGCACGACAAGCACTGCAACTACTTTTGGGCCTGATAGCTGAGCTAGCTGCCTGTACTGGAGCGTGGGAAGGATTTTCCCCGTACGGTAAATGGCTGCTTTGCTTCCACTTGGTGGTGCGGGCTGGCCTGCAGGGCTTTGGGGTTTTAAGTTCTGTCTACAGGAGCTTACAAATTAGTGGTGTGGTCCATGGCTGAAGGGGACTTGTAACCCAGTGAGCTGTCTGGATATTGCGGGTTATGTTTCTGTGCTTGGTGAGGTAGTTCTTGGGTAATTAATTTAATTAAAGTGCCGTAACTTGTGTTTAAGAACCTGAAGTAACTATGGGAGGCTTTAGGAGAGGATCTAGAGGGTGGACTCTGCCGGGATGTGTCGGCTGTGTCTCGTACCCACTGGAGCTCTTTCTTGGCACGTGGCTTCATTCCAGATACGGCTTTCAGTAACGACACGTGGAAGTCACGAGTGTGTGAGTCAGTGGCCCGGAGCTCTGCTGGTGAGGTCGATAACAGGCTTTGGTTGCCCTTCACATGTGCTGCTTTGTTCTGCTGCTGGCCATCACTGTGGGTTGGGTGACAAGGAGCGCAGGGCTGCCCAGGGGATCAGACCCACGGCGGCCGAGGGGGGATATGTGCCGTGACGGTCAGGAGTGCTCCAGGGGAAGCATCTTCAGTCCTGCATGGCTTGAGCTTTAGTTGCTTGCCTTTGAGGTGCTTACTCAGTTAGTATGGTCTGACATCCGATGTACCGTAGTGTTGACCACCTCAGTCTTTTAGAAGGCAAATGAGAGAGAGCTGGGAGATGATCTTGTTAAGGGGGGGTGCTGATGGCATTATTTTCTGATTACATCCCCTTTTTCTTGTTATTTGGCCACTTCCTGCATTGACACACCCTGCAAACTGCCAGTAACCCGCTCTCAGAATGAGTAGGGCTTTAAGTGCTTCAGCTTCCCACAGTGAGAGCCCTGACTGTGGCCTGTCTTACTGCTGTTCTGTCTGCCATCACAGTGGCCACCTTTTTAGTCCTGCAAGAAGGATCAAAAACTGGATTAGAGGGAGCTCAGGGGAGCGACTTCAGCCGTTTGGGGAAGCAGAGGCGGCGCAAGACTCAACTCAGCCTGGAGGAACGTTGGTCTGGGGCTTTCATCATCCAAAACTTACCTGAGAAACTTTTGGGAAGAATGAGAAGGATTGAATTAGACAGTGCTACTGTGCCAGTGGCAAGTTATGCAAACTGTAGTGGTGATGATTATAAGTTTTCTATTTTTAAGTCTTCCATTGAGTGACTCACTTTATTAGATGTGTTCGTTTAAAATGGAATGTGAAGCACCCAGATTCCATGGTAATGGCCTCGTAAAGCACACAGATATACAACATAACAGATTGGATTTCTTCTCTTAATTTAACAGGTTTTGCGTCTCATACACCATGTCTGATGGCAGCACACAGGGCGTCACACACTCCTATTGCTAAGCTCTACAGTTTGTATCCATCTGTCTCCTCACTTTTGCTAAAGTAGTCATCTTTCTTTGATCTCTAACTCGTGGTTCTGCGTCTGAATTTTCCACCATTCTCCTTCCCTCCCTCTTCCCTCATTCCTCTCATTCTTTCCCTCAACTTTGGCCACACGCAGCTTGGACCCAGCCTGATACCTTGATAATTAGAAAGTACTCGAGTACAGAAATGCCGGCGACTGCCGCGCTTCCTTTTCAGTCACCTGGCCCCCTCGGGTGGGAGTGGGTTACACAACTCAAAGTAAGATCCAGCCAACAGTCTTTCAGCTACCTGGGCTGAGCGTTATGGGAAGGCGGGAGGGCGGGTCACTCCTAGTATTTATATCGGCC